GAGACCAAACTCTCCAGTTAAGCATAAGAACGATGGAAAACAGGTATAATTTTTCATGGGCCTATTGCTTTAATATTTGCAGCATCTCTAAGGCACAGCCTTTCCAATCCAGAGTGAACTCCCCCCTTTCCATTGCTGATACAGAGGTTTCTAGCTGTTAGGCCTTTTGCAATAGCATGTCCAAAAATGTTTTTGCAAGTTGCCAAACTGATGAGACTCCTTTGCCATTTTCACACATCACTTGTGTTTCAGTTTTAATATAATGAATGACAACATAATTGTAATAAGATCCTGTATTTGATAACAGCCATGGGATTTGATAATAAGCAGCCTCTGCTGAAATGAGATAGATTAATGGGTATCCTCTCAGTTTGCTCAGCAGTAAGATGGATCATATTGGTGTGTGTGTGTGTGTGTGTGTGTGGCTGGGGAATTCTGGGAGTTGAAGTCCACAGGTCATAAAGGGGCCTTAGTTGCCTATCGCTAATTTAAGCCTAGCTCCTAGAACTGATCCTATTCCTTATCATTTATCTCTCTGCATTGAGGAAGCCAATCCTTTTACTCTGTAGAACTTGGAGTGGGAAAACGCCTTGGGCACTTGGCAGTAGGGCAATTTTGAGAGCTAAGAAACCGAAAAGCAGCATATTTCATAGTGTAGAACTTCTTATCTCTAGCCAACTGTTCTCTGGGCACATTTGGAGAGATGGATCTAGCCAAGGTAAAAAGGAAGATGCTGGCAGGCAGAGATTTCCCAAAGTCCGCTTACCCCTTTAATCCCTGATCATGCAATCAGGGACTCAACTTTAGCTCTGTTTCAGATTTGATGCAAAGAGCAGCTGGAGAGGGGGAGAAATAAGAAACTGCTATAGCCTCCTTAAAAATTGTGCTTTGAATGCATAAAGACTGAATATGCAGTGCAACTCAGTATATCATTATTAAAAAGTATTGTATCAATTCTATATATTATAATAACAATGTATACAATAACCAGGATATATAACAGGAAGCATTGTCTTTAGATGAAGGTTGCTCAACCTCAGCAATTTAAAAACCGTGTATGTCTAGTTTAATGAAAAGAAGGCCTAGGGGAGACATGATAGCAGTGTTCCAATATCTCAGGGGTTGCCACAAAGAAGAGGGAGTCAAACTATTCTCCAAGGCACCTGAGGGTAGAACAAGAAGCAATGGGTGGAAACTAGTCAAGGAGAGAAGCAACTTAGAACTAAGGACAATTTTTTTGACAGAACAATTAATCCATGGAACAACTTGCCTCCAGAAGTTGTGAAAGTTCCAAAACTGGAAGTTTTTAAGATGTTGGATAATCATTTGTTTGAAATGGTATAGGGTTTCCTGCCTAAGCAGGGGGTTGGACTAGAAGATCTCCAAGGTCCCTTTCAACTCTGTTATTCTATATTCTAAAACATGTGAACTTCAACTCCCAGAATTCCCCAGCCAGCATGTCTTCCGAGATATCTGGTTTTCATTGTATCTGAGGAATGACTTGGTATCTAATTATATTTGCATATCAGGCTAAGCCCTTAAAAATTATTAGGGCAAATTTGTTTATTCTGTTTGTATATTGCTGAATCCGACAAAGACTCTTTATAATTGTAAATCAACAATTAAAACATCCATAATAATTTAATAATCTAATGCAAACATAATACACATAATAAAATCATAAAAACATTGATGGAATAGATAATAAACCAATCATAATAAACAATGGTAATAAGTTACTGCATCAGCTATTCAATATTCATGAGAGGAACTCAGTTCTTACATCTGGAAAAAGTAAGAACAAGTCTCATTTCTAAGAGAAGACTTCAATCATTGCCATAAATGAACCATTGTTCATTTATGGTTTGTAGAAGTAAGTAGGACAACTATAAAGTGCTTGCTTCTTCTGTTCTACATTAGCCACAGAATTTAAACTAAAACAAAACATGATTAGCATGGAAGAGAAGTAACCTCTCTTCTGCAATAAGAGAGGATATACTTAGTCTTAAGAAACCCTAGAGAGTTGATTTGCTAGTCATAGAGTGTAGAAGAGGAGGTACCATCTGTGAGCAAGCATACTCAATAAAGCGATTTTCAACAGCTTGGTGTGATGTGTAAACACCACCGTTGAGAAGCTAAGCTGGTTGAATTCAGAAGTTTAAAAACAGGATGAGGGGATACCTCCAAGGAAAAGTGGTATCTGAGTCTTAGTCCAGTCCCTCCATTGTATCACTTTGCTGAGTTCTGCAACTTTACAAGTGATATAGGTAAAAAATTCTCCAGAGAAAAGCTTACTGTCATCTAGGAAATTCCCTGTGTGATTTACAGCAGATTGGGATAGGGCAAGTTCTCCACTGCTCAAATTTGCTGGCAATGTGTGCAGAGCTCTGGAGCCAAGGATGGCAGTGTGACAGCAGAGCAGGATTAACAACCATGTCCTTGTTTTTCATGCATTTTCTTTCCCTAATTTTAAAACAACCTTAACAAGCCTGATCTTTTGTACAATGCTTCATTCACTTACAACCAATCAACCCTTTTGACATGTAATTTCAGAGTCATTAAACAAGTGGACCTAGTCTCTATATAATTTTTTGATTGCCTGACTAGATCATTGACATCGTAGATGGAACAAGCTGCCCATCTGACAAGCAGTGGCCCTTCTTCTCTAAGTTACTATTTTAATAGGAATTTTTAAGCAGATCATAGAGTACCAGAAACACAAATTTTGCTCTGTCTGGATCTACCTAGAAACATCTGTCTAAAACCAATACTCTACTTAGACATACAGCTAGTCAATAAAATTTATTGATTTCCATCAATGGTGTTTTCTCTTGTTCTTCATTTCCATATAAACTTTTCTATATGCAAAATTGCAACCTTCTAAAATATCTCAGGAAATTTCATAGGGTTTCATAATTTCTCTGTTGACTTTGGGGAAGAACATCCAAAATACCTTTCTGCATTGTCCCCTTGGTGCTATGTTGAAAGGAATCTTGGAAATGGGGCTTAGAAGCTCGCCAAATAGTTGGACAGACTGTTCATATAAGAATCAAGCTGGGCTGATCTTTCTTTTGGGTAGGTAAAAGTAATATGAGTTGAGCCCAATTCCCAGTGATCATCAAATCCATGCATTTTCTTGGCCTTAAAGTAGTTTGTCATTGCCTATTACTGGCATGTTTTTTTTAACTTCTCAGTTTATGCTACAACCAGAGATGATATTCAGCAGGTTCTGACCATTTCTGGAGAATCGGTAGCAGAAATTTTGAGTAGTTTGGAGAACCGGTAAATATCACCTCTGACTGGCCCTGCCCCCTTCTCTGCCTCCTGAGTCCCAGCTGATTGGGAGGGAATGGATATTTTGCAGTAACTTTCCCTGGAGTGGGGAGGGAATGGAGATTTTACAGTATCCTTCCCTTGTCACGCCCACAAAGCCACACCCACCAAGCCACACCACACCATGCCCATTAAGCCACACCCACAGAACCAGTAGTAAAAAAATTGAATCCCACCACCGGCTACAACCCAGGAATGTTCTGAAGTCTTCCAGGGCCTGCTTAGTTTTTGTGCTGAAACAAGATGAACAAACTGCTACCATTAACATGGCAATTCTTTGGGTGACACCTTCAATCCTCCTCCAGCTGCACTAATCAGAAATGCATCCCTCCTTTGGATTAGAATTTAAGTATATTAATAATTTTTCTTGGACTAGAATGCTAGTCCTGGTACCTCCTTGAGGGACTTCAGATACAACACCCAATAGCCAAATTCAACCATTCCATGAAATGATGATGTTAGAAGAAATAAGAAACAGAAAGAGAGACTCTATCATGCCGGAAAATAGAACTGCTACCATAAACCCCTGCATATTTGCATGTTCCCCCCTGCATGTTTTCCTTGTGGGATAACAATCAGGATGCAGGAAGTCAAACAAACAGCTATTCCACCCCCATTGACAGTTACATGCATACATTAAACCAAGCTGTGTTGATAATGGTCCCCTTCCTCACAACAGGCAATCTGAATTCAAAGATGGTTTGGGACACACAAATTCTTGGCAATAACCTGAAGAAGCTTCATTCCCCCCCCCCACACACACACAAGGAGGTGCCAATTGGTGTTATGTGCACTTGTATGCTGTCCAAATTGACTTTTCCCTTTCAAATCTAGATTGCTGCACCTCCCTACTAACGGATAATCCACTGTGACTAAGCTGAAACAATACCAAATATGTTTCTAATGAGGAGTACTTTGTGAACTTGGCCAATATTTCACACAACCTTAAGTGGGGAGAAGGAAGCAAGAGTGCTGCTCTGTGGGTCTATGACAATTTGCTGTGGCCAACTTGCTGGGGCCAATTTGTAGTGGCCAACTCAGTACAGCTAACTCACCATGGCCAACTCTCTGCAGGACCACAAACTGCAGGACAAAGGTTACATTAATATCAAAGAAATGGAATAGAATCGTTAAAGAAAGGATGCAAAAGGAGGGGCAGAAAGAAATATGAATGAGAAAAATTAAAATAATTTTTTATTTATTTTAAATAATTAAATTGAATTGTTAAATTGTCCCATGGCGAGTTGGCCGTGGTGAATCGTCCTGCATCAAGTTGGCCATGATGAATTGGCCACAGCGAGTTGGCTGTAGCAAGTTACCCCATTCTGCTGTCCTCCTGTCTTTCTGTATGTTGGCTAAGCAGCCTTAGGAGGCAAAAGTGGCTTTCCTCCCTCATGAATACTACTCTGTATTTTAGCCTGTTCAAGAGCTTCTTCTCTCATAAATTCTGGATCTACCTCACTTCCCTTCCTTGGGGATCACAGGGAGACTACCCTTACAACTGGCAATAGCAACTGGATTGTGAGGGAAAGGCAGGTTGGAGGCTGTTTTCCCTCCTGTTCTGAGCCACTTTGCAGTGGCAAAGGTTCGTGAGTGTCTTGTGATCTTCTCCACATCCTTGCAGCCCTCTTAACTGTGCCTGCTGCTTATTTATGTAAATGACTTACACAGCCACTTGTCTTGCTTCCGGGGCTCTAGGTGACTGACAGGAGATTAAAACATCCATATGTTCCATAGAGCAAGCCCTGGAACAGAAAAGGTGAGCATAGTGATTGCCCTATTCACATTAATAGTCGTAACTTCTCACTCTAGTAACTTACAGCCTAAAATCATCTGAAATTGGTAAAAATGGTAGATGTTAGTTGTTTTGCAATATTTCATTTTGTCACACTCTGTTATCACATCAAAATAAACATGTAAAGAAGAGATTCAGGTTGGGAATTTTCATATTGGCTTATTTCATAAAGAAATAGAACAAGATTTAGTAGCCCAGACCCATCAGAACAAGCATTAGCCAAGCACTAGCCAGGCATTAGCCGAGCTAATCCCAAAATCTCCTAGAGTGCTTTGCATGGACTGGCATCCTATGATCTCCAATATGTAAAAGTGGTAACCAATTATCAGTAACTAGCTATGCCAACTAAGCTACAACTTCTTTTTAACATCATTTCTTGCCATTTTATCACCTCTGGCTGCATACACACCTGAAACAACTAACAACTTTTATTGTGATGCACATAAAAATAGGTAGTGCATCAATCACACCACCATGGTGGCCATTTTATATATATATATTTTACCACATCCCTTGAACACCCATGATGGGGAATACGCATTTGTCTTGATGCTACTGCATATGTGAGTCAGAATCCCTCCTGTTCACAATAACATCTCTGTAACACAACAAAACATCCTTGAGTTAAGAAAACCCTGAAATAATGATATAAATGTAATGATGTCAAATCAGTTGGATTTCTGAATGAGATCAGAAATAATATTTTCTTTCTAGGTATGTGGTTGTCTCCCATAGAACCTGTGCTACAGGTATAGCAGCAGCAACTTGCTCCTAGACTAGAGAACAAGGGTGTCCATTATAAAAGTCAGACAATGCTTAATAATGTTGCCAGTTTTGCTAACTCAGAGCTATTTATGAATTCACATCATGGTACTGGCATCTGTTGAATTGGAGTGAATTGCAAACATTAGCTCTTTTTAGCCAAATCATCTCTCTTCCTCTGCCAGACAATACTGTCTGCAGATTCCCCCCAAAAGCCAATAACTGAGCATTTTTCAAAATGGAACTTATTGCAATGGAGAGTTATGTATTTGAGGAGACAATCTACTTGAGCAAATAATCTACTCCAATATTACTGCTTTCTATTACTGAGCTGTGGTGGCATGGTGGTTAGGCTGACTCTGCTCACAGCCAGCAGTTTGATTTTGACTGACTCAAGGTTGCCTCAGGCTTCTGTCCTTGGTAAAATGAGGATCCAGATTGTTGGGAGCAATATGCTGACTATGTAAATTACAGTACTTAGATTGAGCTGTAAAGCACTATGAACTGGCATATAAGCCTAAGTGCTATTGCTATTGCTATTCTACTCTGGGTTGCCCCAGTGCAACCAATCAATTCCATCTTCAATAGGTGGAAAAGCTTTGGGTGATACCAATGTAAGACAAGAACAATAATTTGCATGTCACTGGCACATGAGGACTAAGAACATTTTTGGATAAAGGACAATATTCTATTGTGTTTTTGAAGATATTAAAGGCATGGGTTTTTTTAAAGCCACTTGAGACAGTATTCAAATAAGAGTTATTTGGATCTTCCAGAAGTGAGGTTGGCATAGCTAAAACATAAAATATAGGTAACATTCATTTTAAATTTGCAAATGTGGTTAAGATATTCCTTTCCTGTCCAATTAAAAAAAGCAGGCAACTTGAAAGTGGAGCTGAAAGCATTATTCCATTAATTGGCACAATGATTAATCAAATGTATTAACCACAGTTTAAATGTGTGAATTTTTAAAATCACACATTAATTGGAACAATCCCCTTTGAAAATGTTTCATGGCTGGCAGCATTATTTCAAACAACCTTCACTTATTTCTTGAGTCTGGTGGCTTAGGCAAATAGATTCACACAAAACCCATAAGTAAGTAAGGTTTTGCAATGAATTATTTAAATCTACCATTAAACCCAATATTTATCTTCAAGCAGAAACACACAAGTACTTTGATTATAACTAATTGATTAAACATGTCATGTCTATATACATGTGTTTTACATTTCTACTTGAGACATATATGATTGTAATAGTTTTTTCTTTGGTGCACACTGTTATATACTTCAAGTTAGGAATGTTTTTGGAATAATTCCTAGAGAAATAGTGTTTCATGGATTATCCTGTTTGTAAAAGACATTCTCTGCAAAGGAAATGAAAATATTCATTATCTTGTTTATTCAGATTCCCTTTAAATAATGTGAATCTTAATGGGAAATCTCTCTCCAACCCCAGTTTGAAACAATAGAGCTCATGCAGATAATTATTTTCCTATTTGTTATGTTAGCTTTTGCAACAGATGGGTATTATTCTACAATAGTCTTCTTATGAGTTCCCTCTGGATATATTGGATTAATTTCCTGAATTTGCAGCCCAAATTTAAGTTAGGAAAGACTGACCTGCTTAAAATATGACAATGACAATATATTTTGCATGTTTTTGACATTTTCTCATGGTACAAGGTCATGTGGTCTCAGGGCTTCTCTGAGAACAAGTGAGTCTTGCTATTGAAGATATAGGGTGACCACTTGAACTGCGTTTCCCACTTATCCTTCTCTTTTTTGAACACAGCAATTCAAAATACACCAAGAAAAATCCCAAGCAGAAAAGAGATTAAAAACTGTTGTTATTCCATAGTCATTTGAGATGGACTAAGCCAGCCATTCCCATTTTGCTGACTTCCAATTATGTTGAATACATGTCCTATTACCCAACTGTAGGAAATTTCATGAGATCCTTTGCTTATTCCCCCCCCCCCTAGTTTTTACACTTCCAGCCTACAGTCCTCCTCCATCTGAAAATTATAATCCTTTAAGTTTAGCTGGAAGCTATTACCACACCTAGGAAATCCTGTAGCCACATCTCCGCTTTCTGGAGGCAGAAATGCAATGATTTGCCAAGATTGCATCCATGATCAATCGGATTAGAGGAATTTTGCTCTTTGCCTTTAGCTCTTGCCCATCTGCCTTGTTTCTGACAGCTAAAGGGATTGCGCCCATCCTGACTGTTCGATAAAGAGAAATAGAGGAAAAAAGAGGAGAAAAATGTATATAAGAAAAACATATTTTCCAATCTCAAAGAATGCTGTAAATGTCCTCTTCAACCTGATGCCTTCAACCTTGGCTTGAGAATGATGCTCACAACAGAGTTGCATAACATATGGCAACCATCTCTCTCTCTCTCTCTCTCTCCCTCTCCCTCTCTCTCTCTTTTTTTGCAAATCTTAAACAGAGATGGTGACCACCTGGATTGTGTTTCCCACATATCTGTCTCTTTTTTGAACACAGAAGTTCAAAATCCTCTTAAGAAAAATCCCAAGTAGAAAAGATGAGAGAGAAAAACTGTTGTCCATAGTCATTTGAGATAGACTTCTACCTCAACGTTTTTTGGCAGACTACCAAATAACAGTAATATCTCACTGTATTTTTACAATAAGAAAAGATGCACAACAGCATCCTAGTCAAAACAGGAAAAAAAATCCATGCAGAGAAAAAAATTAAATGGGGATTGAAAATGAGGGTATGACACCTTGGATTAAGGACTAAATTTAAAAATATGTTGACCTGAGGGTAGATCAAGAAACAATGGGTGGAAACTAATCAAGAAGAGAAGCCACTTAGAACTGAGAAAAAATTTCCTGGCAGTTAGAACAATGCATCAGTGGAACAAATTGCCTCCAGAGGTTGTGAATGCTAGAAGTTTTTAAGAAGATGTGAGATAACCATTTGTCTGAAATGGTATAAGGTTTCCTGCCTAGGCAGGGGTTTGGACTAGAAGACCTCCAAGGTTCCTTCCAACTCTGTTATTCTATTCTATTCTATTCTATTCTATTCTATTCTATTCTAGTCTAGTCTAGTCTAGTCTAGTCTAGTCTAGTATCTTATTATATGAAGACCACCCATGCATTAATTTCTAACAAAATAATAAAGAAGAACCACTAGCAATTTGCTTTTCAAAGTTACTATTTCAATGTGAGTGTTTTTCAGCAAAGGAGCAATAGAAATGTTACATAGTGAAAGTGAGTAGGGGGCTCAGAAGTCCCTTCTATATACTGAGAATGGCTCCATTTTCAGCCAAACAGTAGACTGTTGAGGATGCTTTCTTATGTCTAGTTTGAGGTAGCCCATACTTTTGTCCTTCGGCTCTTTGAAAAAAGCAACAGCATTGTGTCCTGTCCTCTTGTTCCTCAACCGTGCAAGGTTTTTTTCCTGGCCTCTTCCATCAGTATATTGAAATCAGTTCTTTACCAAATCTATTATTTGCATAATAGCAAAATGGGGAGAGGGGAGAGAAGAGATCCAAATTATGTTGCATAAACAGAGATCTCCCAAACTAGGATTCACTACCACTGTCTAACTGGGAGTTCAGGGCAACCTGACAATTCCTTTTTAATCTTCTTAAAGAGAGAAGAGCTAAGTTGAACAACAACGTATTCACTCATTCAGCTAATAAAAGGGGGGGAAATACTTTGCTGAGAGCTGAAAAGAATATAGTCAAAAGAAACCAAGGTCTGGAGTAACATCTTTTGCTTCTACAACCTGGTAAACTCCAGATGTCTTGGGCTTCAGTTCCCATAATTCCCTGCCAGCATGACCAAAGTGTTAGTGGACTTTTTATCTTTAGCTAAAGCTGTCACTTATTTCTGCTTCCAAAATTTTGTAGCCTAGTTCTAGGCAAAGTTAGAAAGCCCATTGATGTCAGCTGGCTTAGATACGTCTAGCTGTATGTTGGATTAGGCTCTTGGATCAGGCTTCTGCTGAGCATCACCTTGGGTTCATGGCCATAACTTTACTGAGTCCCATAGTTTCAGAAGCTATTTAAAATCCAAGATCTCAAGACACATTCTGGAAGAGTAAGAATTCCTGGAAAGCTTTAACGTAACAGGTGGCTGCAGCATCAGCAGGGGAAGTAAAGCAGATAAACTCTCAGGTCTAGGTAG